AGAACGCCATCGGAGACGAGGGAATGGCCGCCCTCTCCGCTGCGCTGAAGGTCAATACAACCCTGGCAGATCTCCAGTGAGTATCCTGGAGCAGCCTAATTAGCTTGTCTAATTAGCACCCTATGGCCACCCCACGACAGGCGCTGAAGGGTCCTTGGTCTCTCGCAGCTTGCAGGTAGCTTCAGTTGGCTCAGCGGGAGCCCAAGCCCTGGCAGAAGCTCTGATGGTCAACAGGAGCCTGCAGATCCTGGAGTAAGTGCTTGGTGGGGCCACCAAGTCCCCATGGCTGTGACACCGCTCTGGGGGTGTCCGAGACCCCCGTCCTTAGCTCAGCACCACTTCTGCCCTTGTATCGTGTCCTACCAGACTTGGCTTGCCTGTCCCTTGACTCGCTGGCCTGGGGCCACCTCTCCCAGCTCCTCCTCTTGCCCACGGAGAGTGCGGGGCCACCCCGGGCTGTCCTTCCTCACCACCTGCCTTCCTCCGCAGCTTGCGGGGAAACTCCATCGGCGTGGCTGGGGCCAAGGCGATGGCCAACGCGCTGAAGGTGAACCGCAGCCTCCGCTGGCTCAAGTAAGTACCCTGCTCCTGGGGTGACAGCCAGCAAGAGCATTCCCAGGCCTTCCAGGAGGGAGCAGCAAGGGGACGGCCAGGCCAGCAGCTCTCAGTGGGGCAAACCCCTGAGCTGGTGGCTTTTCCGAACGCCCACGGCATGCATTCCCTCCTGCTGGCCACGTCTCCCCGGATGGTACTTCCTGACCCTCCTCTGCCTTCCGCAGCCTGCAGGAAAACTCCCTGGGCATGGACGGAGCCATCTGCATCGCCACCGCTCTGAAGGGCAACCACGGCCTCACCTACGTGAAGTAAGTGGCTGCTGAACTGGAGGGTAAGACAGGGACAGGGGAGCCCATGGGAACCATCGGGGGCCCTTCCCCCCCCACTGGCTACCCCACAGCGACCTCCCCAAGGGGAAGGTGACAGCCTCCTGGGTGACAGCCACCATCCCCGCACAGCTCCAGGCCCTGCAGCTCCTCTCTGGGGATGCCTCTGGGGTGAAAAACCACCCTCAAAGCCAAATACTCTCCCAAATCTCACAGGGAGGGGCTGGCTCAGGCCCTCCAGCCCTGCAGGGGCTCTCTCTGGGCTCTCAAACCCAGAGTCCCGTGACTGGGGTCCTGGCAAGACCTCCTGGCATGAGGAGGGTGCAGATGATGCTGGATGCTGGCGCAAAGCTGGGGAGCATCTCTTGCACTCACCAAGGATCCTGCTCTGCCTCGTCTCCAAGCCTGAACCCCTCTCCTCTCCTCTTTGCTCCCAGCCTGCAAGGGAACCGCATCGGCCAGTCAGGAGCCAAGATGATCTCCGATGCCATCCGGACAAACTCACCCGACTGTGTCGTGGACGTGTGAGGGTGCCTGGCTGCGGCGAGAGGCAGCCTGGTGTGTCCCTTCGGCCAGCGTGCCTCCGCAGGGAACTGCTCGGCCCTTCGCCCGCCATCTCAAGGCGGAGAGCTGGGGCAAGGAGAGCTCCTCAGCTCCCTGTGCACGGCCCAGGAGGACCTGGGGCCTCCGGATCAGCATGCAGGAGGGTCAAGACTCACCAGTGTTGAAAGCTGAGGGACATACACCCACATCCCTGTTCATCCAGGCCCTGGGGAGCTTCAAGGAATGGGTGAAACACAAAAAGGAGGGAGGAGGGGGCAAATCCCACATACCTTCCTGTTTCTGTGGGTGACTTACCTGCCCCCACCGGCGGCAGTGACCCCTCCTGTGATCTCCTCGGGGTTACAGCGCTGTGCGCACTGCCCCGACCGCCCCGAGCTCTGCTGTCCCAGTCTGAGTCGCTGTGGGCAAACGTTGCAGCACCCAGCCGGAGCCGCAGTGCTCTGCTCCCAGGGCCAGCTCTTCTCCCTCTAGTTCTGGCAGGGAGCCCAGGAGAAGCGGGTGGAATGCAGGCAGGATTCACAGCATCCCCTTGGCACCTGGCTACGTGTGGCCCAGTCCTGCCGCCTCCCGCTGAAGTCCCAGAGAGGGAAGAGAGGTTTGCCATCTCCTTGCTCAGATGAGAGCGGTGCTTCGGACCAGGACACTTCAGAGCAGGGTCCTGGGCAGCGAGTGCAACCTGCGTGTTGGCCATGCCCTCAGTAACACGAAGGTGCTGGCCGAACGTGACTGAAGTGCTGTTGTCTATCAAAGTCTCTCAGAAGAGACAGGCAGCCCAAGGCATACGAGTGGAACCATGCAGAAGACCTTGGGAAATAAAGAACCCTCAGGATGACGGGAGGAGTGGGAGGGTGTAAGAAGAACAGTGCTGCACGGGCTGTCTCCAGCGCCCGCGGCCCGGTGCTACATGGGGCTGCATTATCATGAACTTCTGCCTCATCACGGAGCTCTGCCTCTCGGGTGCAGGCTGGGCTTCTTGTGTCTCCTGCTGCTGTCATCGGTGACAAGCTGTGTGACCTTGGAATGTGTCTTCCCAACGTCCCAGCTGCAGGCAGGGTCCTCCCCTGGCGGGTCACCTTTTGGGCAGGCAGCTGCTGAGAGCAGATGTGCCAGGGGATGCCGTCGTGGGTGCGGCAGAGACCCAGTGACTCTCCAGAAGGTGCCAGTTTTGCAGGTGGACCAGTAGCCCAAACCATGCAACCGCTGCAGAGCCCCCCTCCAGCCCCCTCTCCCCACTCTGCCCCAGTCAGGGCCCACACTGAGACACGCTGCCGCTGCAGCCACGGCACTGGGTGACTGCTTCCTCTGCGGGCTGATCCTGGAGAAGCGCTGGGCAGTGTGTACATACTCAGAAATAAATCAGTTCCTAGCTGAGAAGATGCCTTGCACTGCCTTCCTCTCTTGGCTGTGGACCATTACACGTGATATTCGGGGTGCACCGTGCTCTGCTGCCCCAGCTGGAGACCCCACACCCTGTACTGGTGTGACAAGAGGGCTCGTGGCTTTTCCATGAGATGTCAGGGGCTGGCACACGCGCTCCAACAGGATTCAGTGATGTTGAGTGAGTTAACTCCTACCCCTTTCGCTATGATTTCAGGGCAGAGTGAGGCTCGGGTCCAGCTCTGCCCAACCCTGAGCTGAAACATTACCTGAAACACCAATGGAGAGCGATCAACAACCCCGAGCCAGCTCCTGTGCCCTGGAGCTGCAGGAAACGGGGCGAACAACAATTTGAAACGTTAATCGATCTGTGTGTGCACATACCTAGCTAGACACAAACACTTCTGCACAAAAGCTCAAGGGCTCGGAGGGTGCAGTTCCACTGGCACCTGCGGGGTGGCTGCTAAACGCGCCGCTGCTCGGGCTCGATGCAGGAAGCTGCAGCGGGGAGCACGGCTACTCGAGGAGCTGGCACAGAGAGGATGGGTGGCAGTGCCGTCTGGTTCTGCACACACCAGACATTCGGTCAGCTTTCCATTTCAGCCTACAACGTAGGAAACAACAGAGAAAACACTAACTCTGAAGCTGCAGCCCAGACTTGGAGACCGGGCCCCATCTCATGGGAAATCTCACTGCTGAGTCAGATGTATCGCTGCGCTCAGGGAGGGCCAGAACTGATACCCTGCATGGAAAAATGCTTGAAGAGCAGGTCCTAAAATCAGGACATTCTCATCCCTTGGGAGAGGGACGTGGCAAGCACGTACAGTTTCCCACCGGCTGTTGCAGGACCGCAGGAGCACTAAGAACACCGCCTCCTGTATCCGTTTTCTTCGCAGCAAGGTGCAAAACGCCAATCACCTTTACAGTGTGCAAGGAAGCGTCCTAAGGGTCAGCTCAGCTCAAGCCCGTGCGACTGTCTGCATTTCATGGCTGCACCCACACGTCCCACAGAAAACCGGCGCTGGATTCACCTGTAAACTTTCTGTCCCACCTTGCCGTGACCTTTCAAGCTCTGAGCTCTGCTGCTGGGGAAGCGCCTTGGGTGTGCAGGTTCCACCCCTGGGGCCAGAGACACGGAGAGATGAAGCAGCTCGTGCGTTTTCGAGTGACTGACGTGTATTCCTTCCTTTGGCACAGTAATGGAGGGGCTGGACCTGAGCAGCCTTCAGACTGGGGAAAGCCAAGTGCTTCACTGATGTAAAAACAAGGGAAGGGCAGGAAAACAGCCTGGGCTCTCATCTGCCCTGATGAACACACACCAAAATCAGCTCTTCTCATCAAGCACCGAATTCTGCTCCCGCGAAGACAACTGGTGACGCTAAAGCAGAGCGAAAAGAGGCAACACGAGACAAACCCCAGCTCGTGCGTTCACACGAACACATTTTCACTGGTGCCATCAGTGTAACTTCCTGCACAAAAGCCCAACTTTTGGCCCATTTGGGTGCCTAAATCTCAAGTCTGCCCCAGCAGCACTGGTATAATTACAGGGCTAATTTTGTACGGGTGTACTTACAGTGCTGTTTCGCACGGCTGCTCTCAGAACACTCAAGAACAATTCCCACCGACACAGCTGAAATACCAAGAGCTGCTGCACTGAAGGTGGTATTTGAGGACCTTTTCACCAGTTTTCCACTCCCTGGGTACAACTGGTGCTGCTCTCTGGGGAGACAAGCCCTCGATTAAGTAAAGGATATGTTTAGGATAAATAGGTTTAAGCCAGATTTAAAATCAATTGAAGTGTGTTCCCAGAGCAGCTTTTCATCCAGTTTTATTAAGCCAAAAACCAAATCTGTTTGGGCATAATAAATGCAGGGAAATGAAGCACACGATGCTCACGGAGCGTGACTGTTGGCAGGGCAGAGCAGGAGGGCCAGTTCTAACACAATTATGGAAATAACCACACTCTGCATTACTGTGATTCTCATTATGGATAAACTGCTCACGCTCTGAGAGTCACAAGACTGGCAATCCAAGTTTAATTTTCAAGTTTAATGAACATTATTTACCGACTCCCGAATTCATGCTGACAAGTGCTTTTCAAATGGTATATTAGCTCCTGGCCTGCATGCTCTCCAAAGTTTGTATTTCCAGATGCCTCCTGATCCTGCTGCTAAAGGGTCAGAAGTCATTATCACTTTCCTCTAGTGGCTCTGGCTTCCTTGCTCGGTGACTGGATTTGCTCGGGGAGATTTCCACACTGTCGTCTTCCATATCATCCTCTTCCTCATCTTCATCTTCATCGAGGCCAATCTCACTATCCCCCGAGTCCTCCTGCAGGAAAGCAAACAGAATTCACCACCAGTTCAGTTCCAGGCATCTTTGCCAGCTCAGACGTAAAGGCAGGCACTGCTGGCTGACAGTAAGTCACCTCCTCCCCTGCGCGCTGCAATCACACACCTCAGGGCTACGGACTACGTCTGGACTGGTATGGATCCAGATCTGGACTTGCACTGGGGAGCAGCAGCAGGTTCTGCAAGAGGTTTTGTTCCAGCTCAGGCTGCTGGCCTTCCAAACTAATGAAAAGTCAGAGCTCAGCTGCCTCGAGGAGCTAACGGCCCACAGGGCTTTCACTAGCAGCTCCCCGCTTCGGTCAACAGTGGCTGCTCCGTTCAATTTATTGCAAACCTCCTTCCCCGCTTCACTGGGCTGACAAAAACAAACTCCCTGACTTCTGCTGAATCTGTGCTATTAAAAACCTTGCAGGGAGTTTAACTTTAAAGCAATACTTACTGTGAGACCAAAGAATCAAGTTGTAGTGAAAGAAAATAACTGCAGGAGAGAAACCCACCTGTGCTGTGGTGATGATCCTGCGCGTGCCTTGCCGTGCTGGGGCAGATCTCCCCTTGGAGAACCAGAGAGGAAAGAACAGGAGAGGCAGAGCAGGAAAGAGAAGTAACACAATGTAAAAAAACCCCAGAAAAGTAACCAGAGCAGGGAAGCAGGGAGCAAAGCCGAGGACAGCTCAGGCATCACATGCCACATGAGCCAGTGGCAGAGGCTGGGCATACAGCCCTGAACCTGCTCTCTTCTCCACTCCATAACCTGATTAACGCTTTGAGGGGTTCACACCAGCCTCACCAGTTTCCCTCCCTGATCTCAGACCCAGAGACGCCTGCAAGGGTCCCTAAGCGAGCCTCTCAGCCCTGTGCCTGCTGTATTAAGAGGGCAGAGCCATGAGACAAAGTGGCTGCAGCTAAGGAGAATAAGAGGCATGAGGCCTTGGCTTCCACACCTGGGTGGGCTGTGCCGACAGGGAGACACAGGAGAAAGCTGTGAACAGGGAAGTCCAAAGGAAGGAGAAATTGCAGAGAATGGCTATCCAAAGCTGTCAAGAACGCGGTCAAGGACAATCAGGCCGCACCGTGACTAAGGTCACAACATCACAATCTGAAGCACTGGCACTCCTGACCCTGCCCAGAAACGTTTCAGAATGCCAGCGGCATAAATCATCCCCCAGAAGGCAGCAAACAGCCTTAGCCACATCCAGTCTGGCTGAAGCACACAGCAGAACATGGTCTCCAAGCTCCTTTCCAGAGAAAAGGTGAGGATGGGCAGAAAAATGGGCAGCTCATCCCTCTCCATCGAGAGACTTCACTCCCCTATGGCTGCAGTGCCTCCAGGTCTCTGCAACGGGCACTTAGCAGCAGCGCTATCTGCTCTCTCCTGGCCCTGCCTGCAGGAGAAACACTGCCCAGAGTTTTCCGTAGCTCACCCAGCAGCGTCCCTATGCCCTGTAGAGGTGGGTTCCCCCACTTGCTTCCCTCTTAATTTACACCTTCTCCTGGGGACCTTGGAGCCACGCTAGCTCCAGTAACCTTGGCCTCCTGCTCCCCCCGGGTCTGGTGTCTGTATTGGACTCTGCAAAGGGGTTTCTGAAAATCACGTTCTTTGTTTCAGAGAGGCTTCATTTCTACACCACGAAGGCAGCGAAAGGCAGGGCAGTACTGAGAGGCAGATAATCCCCCAGCAGCAGAGAGCTTCCTGCTGGGTGCAGGGATGGTGTCCGAACTCCCGGCACACCACCCTCCCTCCAGAGAGGCAGCAGGGTGGGGTGTCTGCTGGACAGTCAGAAAGGCTGCATCTGCACAGGACATGAACAGGCAGCACGGGGAGAAAGTCATGGTAGTTTTGAAGTGGTTGTACCATTTCCTAGCGCAGTTTTGGCCCACGCCAACTAGAAGTCTCCAAAACAATATTCCAGCATCACCTAGGGACCAGGACAGCCTCGCCACTCCTGGCAGGACGTGGCTTGGATGGCAGCAGCTTTTTGGGATGGTGGGGAGAACTTACTGCATGGATGCAAACCATATCACAGCGGCTGGCTGCAGCCTCCTAGTACAGATGGAGGACTGAAGGACTGATGCTGTTGGTACAGCCCACTGCGAGGGCTCCAAGGAGTGTGTTTTTAGAGGAAGGTAGGGGATTTAGATCCACACATCTAACTCCTGCTACACTGCACTGACCCCCTCTTCCCAGCAATCTGCCCCAACACCTTAGCAGAACGGCATTACTGCAGCCCGCGTGCCACTCAGTACGCACTGCAGGCTGAGGCTGAGGCACAAGGCGGTGCAGAGCCCCAGAAGCAAAAGAAAAACAAGAAAATGGGTGTCTGTGCAGATGAGGGAGCAGTCAGCTGGAGGAAAGGAGGGGAAAAGCAGGCCTGGGAATGATATTCAGCAGGTAAAAATGTATTTCTCTAGCGGAGGAAAGGGCTGTCATTCTAAGGCACTGTCAGAAAAGCTCTACAGGCACATGGGATGGTTACTTACATCTTCCTCTGTGTCTCCACCTTGCATTGTTCCCACGATCCGTGCGCCAGCTCTTCCTGAAAGAGCAAAGGGAATCACTGTAAAGCCTGGCTCATAATTAACGCTGAGGGAGAATGAAAGATAAAGTTCAGAGTTTACGTGGTAAAGGACTCGTCAGATGGCAGCGAGAGGATGAGATCCCAGTGCATCATGTGAGCTCAGGAGAAGGAAGAGGAGGGTAAGGCTGACAGTAATTCCACTCAGGATGTTAATTCCAGAGCTACCTTATGCCAGTATGACAGTTCTGACAGGACAAGGGGCAATGGACACATTAAGAAACTGGAAATTCTACCTGAACACAATAAACCACTTTTTGTGTTACTATGAGTGTGGTCAAACATTGGAACAAGGTTGCCAGGAGAAGCTGTGGAGCGTCCATCCATGGAGACAGTGAAAACCCACCTGGATGTGGTCTTGGACATCCTGCTCAAGCCCCCTGTTTGAGCAGAGGGGCTGGACTAGATGATCTTGAGCGGCAACTTCCAACCTAAACAATTCTGTGATTTGGCATATTCCTTCCTCACAAAAACCCGCTTTTTCCATGCCCTTCAGAGAGCTCCCTGCGCTCAGATCCTTAGGGACTGACATTTCAAAGGAATGCTAGGCAGTGCCAAGGCAAATCCCAAAAATTTCATGTTGGGAGTTGGATGAGTAAGTCTGAAGAGGGAGGTGGAGATCTCAAGGTTGTAGGGAGGTCACTGAGAAGGCAGAACACTTGTGCCTCGCTTTGTTACTTTTGGCTATGTAGAGGCCATACGAAATGGGAAAGATCATGGTCTCCTTTGCTGGGAAGGGAGCCCGGAAGGCGTTGGGAATAGGGACAGCAGAGTTGTGACTGGGGAAATTCTGTGTGTGGGCTGAGCGGGTGACTCAGCCCAGCTTCCTGCAGCCTCAGCCCTCGCTCGGCACTAACCGATGCCTATCTCACAGTCCTGCTGTGACCACCGCGTTTCACCCTCTGTTTATCTCCTGTCAGCACCAGTTTTGTCTATGACAAATATCTCCAATCTTAACAAAATCAATTTTATTTATTTTTCATCATGAAAACAAAGCAACTTTAAAATATATCCTGTCAAACCAATTTGGTACCTCCCAAGGTAGAGAGGAAGACAGGTGCCTGTTGTCCCTTTTGCAGACTGATTTGGGTTACTTGTAGGAAAAAGCTGGCTAACTCATCTAGAAGTCACCAAAACCCCCTTGTTGCATCAAGGCAGATAATTTAAAGGATTTGATGTCTTCAAATAAAAAGCAGTGTCCTCTGTCCATCAGGCTGCTGGGAGCACAGGTAGGAGATGGATGTAAGACAACTCCTGGGCAGAAGGTATCTCTTCAAGCTTTAGAGAGTTTTGCTCTAATTTATGCTAGACTAAACTATGTAAATTTGGAGCTGATTACAACTGGCATCATTAGATGACAACAGAACCACATTTTCGCCCAGCCTACAGAAGGGTCCGAGAGTTTAAGTGCAATTTTGCTACGTAGAAGGCTCAGAATAAAGCGTTACATAGGGAGTTATTACCTCAAAAGGAGAAAGAAGCAGGAAGCTCCTAAAATTTACTGGTAAGACAAAGCTGAGTGAGATCTTGAATGTGGAAGAGAATCAAGGTATCATGTAAGGAGAGCTGATGAAATAGGACAGTTTGAAAATGCTGAGGGAAGAGCTTAGGGAACGCTAACAGAAGGTCTGCGGGATGCTGCTCTTCCATCAGTGGAAATGGTAAGGACATCTTGTGGGCAAGATGAGAATTAGGTACTGCCCAGACTTTGATCCCTTCATCGTTTAAGCCAGGAGCACCTCTTTGAACTAGTGACTGTGGCCTCAGCAGGATTAGGCCCTGTAGCACAGCCCTGGGACACTCAGGGCAGACACCCCGGGATGCAGAGGCCTGGGAGCTTCAGGCTCTGCGTTATGCTGAAGAGAAAGCACATTTTCCACCCTGGTAGGAGAGCTTCCATGACAAAGGCGGGAGCGTTATTTTAACTTTCAGATTGTAAACCCTCAAGTTTCCGTGTGTGGGAGCAAGAGGAATGACACACAGTGCATTTCGGTGTGCACTGCGGGGAGGCAGGAAGCAGAGGAGTCGTCTGCACAGGACAGGGAGAGGTGGCAGGTACAGGGGTGTTTGTCACTTAGTTTCCTGGGTTAAATTTAGCTGGGCTCAGCTTGCTGCGGCATTAGTGCTGCACCGCTCTGGGCACAGAGGCTCACGCAGCTTCCAAGCGGCTGAGAGCCTGTTATGTTTACTTATAGATAATGTGAATTCAGCCGGGACAGACTGTACGAAGTCATAATTAGGTAAAATGTTAGTAATGAAGAGACTGTAATTCACTGCGCCTTTGGATTGAAATCTAACCTCGGTGCATCGCCACTGAGCTATCGAAGATCAGAAGCAACGTGCATCCCTGACTGTAAGCCTGTGAGCATTTGCCGTTCTCCCCTGCCGGTGACGTTTGCCACGGTACCAACCCGTGCAGCCGCCTACAATGGATCCACAGGACTAGAATGATTTACATCTTCTTACCCAGCAGTGGGTCTATGTCAACCCTGAGCCGGACAGCCCGAAGTGACGCTTAACCCGAGAGGTTAGGACAAGCTACCATGAGGGGAAGGGTAGGTTTGCAGCTGAAACATTTTGCTCCCAGTTTGGAGACCCGTGTTCAGTGTCCAGCTCGTAATGCCAATTCACAGCATGAGCTCCGATAAGACAGCTCCCTCCATTCCGCACGCAGAAAATTGGGATAAACCTTTTGCCTGATCTTCTCTGATCTGCAGGGCCTTTGAGCAGCCCGTTCTGAAGCGTGAGTGCAGCCCTCAGCACAAGGCCCTGATCCCAGCAGCATTCTCTAGGCATTGCCAAAGTACAATGGTTCATCAAGCACACTACAGCCGCTGCCCAGGATGAGCGTATTTCCATTTGTTTCTTACACCCTCTAGGAAAAGGTGCGAGTCACCTGTCTCAATGTCACCATCGCAGACCTACCACCTCTCCCTCTCCGCTATGTCCAGTGCCGCAACGGCCGGCGTACAGGCTGAAAGCGTATGGAAACACCTCCTCCCCCCCAGGGAGCTCCCTTTGCTGACAGAAAACATACAGCCAAAGGCAGCTCTGCTCGAGCAGATGCTGAGGTGGCGGGAGGAAGCTCCACTTCAAGCTTCACTTCTGTGAATTCCAAACCACAGCTCCTTTCTGGTGTTTCCAAACACACCGCGTTGCCTTGCCCCACCCACATCAGCCTGGTAATACGTGACCAGCAGCTTCCATACCAGGAAACTAAAGACTTTGCAGACTCTTATCTGGGGGATGGGAATCTCCATAGCTGCCCACAGAGATACACCAAGATGAGAAAAGCAGCTGTATTTCTCCCTCCCCAGACGAGCTTCCTCCAAGCACTGGCCCTCAGGCCCAGCCGCTCACTCAGTGTCGCCTGTTTTTTCCCCTCCCGCTTGACCTGCGGAAGCAAGGAAGAGACTGAGAGACTCATCTGACTCTCCAGGATTATTTGTATACTGTTTGCCATTAGAACTTATTTCACTTTACTCGAGAAGTATATTCACTCCCGAAGCACAGTCACGAGGACCCACTGCATGCCGTGCATACACAGCCCCGGTCAGGGTAAAATGGCACTTTGGAAAATAATTTCTTTCCTTGTGAACTTCACAAAGTTCCAGGAGAGCATTACCACTTTGGTAGAGTCCTGTGAGGAGCAATGAGAGCAGGTGCATTTGTGGATTTTTTCCCCTTGACTTCGTACATCATCAAACAGCTGGAGAACTTCAACCTGGCTCACACACAGCCAAATACCTTCTCGCCTGAGCTGTCCTTTATGCCTCAGCCTTCTCCTTCTGCCACCCTCACGGCATCTGCGAAATCCAGGCCCGCTCATCTCATTTTCAGACTCTGAATCACAGCAAACACATGCAGTGAGACGCCTGCCCACACCAGGGTCCATGAAGAATCACCAGGAAGAGAGCAGCCTGGCCAGGTTAGAAGAGGTGTTTGTTTCTGTGGCTCTGTACTTGTTAACTGCCAAGAAATCAGGCGGGGATCTTTAGAGGAGCTCTGGGGTACAAACAATGCCCACAAATCCTGCATGGAAAGGCAAGGTAAGAAGAGTTCAGTGCCCAGCAGGCCTGTCTCACGACTGATGGTGTCCGAGTCAGCTCTGCCCCGCCGATGCTGCGCCAGGGGCACTTCAGTTATCAATGTGGCATGGCTCGGAACAAGACCTTTTCTTCTGGTTTTCAACAACACAAACTCCACACACACTGACTGCAGCAGTGGGGGTACCCTGATCACAGTTTCTCAAGGGTTTCCAAACAGACTGACTGGGGGGAATGACTTGAGAACGGTAGAGACGGAGGGAACATCCTGCACTAAGCTGCATGCCAGTAATAGGGCTGTCCCTACGGATGAAGCAGAGAGATGAAGGATGGGGTCATACAGCACTGGAATGGTGCCTGACAACTGCAGCGAGCTTCAGCAGGTTTTTCTTATCAAGAATCATTTCCACAACAGAGAAGAATAAAAAAAATTTTGAGAAAACCTGCAGATCTGTTATCATCTTGTATTTGTAAAGATAAATGCACTTGTATATATGTCTGGTCTTGGACTCAGAGTTGTGATTTCCTTTATGAACAAGAGAGAAGGGAAGAAACAGTCTAGTTATTTAATGTGCCTTTAAAAAAATCAGGCAGGTGACAGCCACAGGAACTCAGTGTGAAGAAGACATCCAACAAGGAGCTGGCAGCTGTTGCACATTCCTAACTGAATCCCTCCACTTCCCTGCATACTGACAGCAGACCTGTGGCTTCTACACACCTGGGGAGGTTAGAGGGAAGGAAAACATTCCAGAAATTCAGTAGCAGAAGTCAGAACATGCACATGAGCTGGAGAGAGAATTTCCACAAGCGGAGTCTGACCATTTCCACTGAGATCAGGACTTCCCTACTTTTCAGCTTGCATGCTATACAGAGGGATTTGGAAACACAACTTGGTAGGCTTTCCTGGGAAGATTTCCCTCTACTATGTCAAAACTCTAAATTTTCTCTACAGGACGAAGAAAATGAGGGCTAATTCAGCCTCTGCAACCTCCCCACCCATCTCTGGGAGATGCGTCTGTACAGGCCTGGCTATGGCACAGGAATAGCTGGCACTGGCAAGCCAGCCCATATCCACAGACACATGGGACACGCTGTCTGCCCCTGAACTCACCTCTGCTTTGATTGTCACATATTTGGTTCCACTTCTTCCAATAAAGTACACTTTGCTTTCTTAGTAAAACCCCTTTATTCTCATCTGCTGCATCCAGAGACCTATTTCTTCCTGCTGTCTTAAACAGTGCAGGTTTCACAGGCAGAGATTTTATCCATCCGGTAGCAAGTACACTCGCTATCCTGGCTGCCAGCACAGCATTGGCACATCGATCCTCTGGGTCAGTTCCACGTAGGTAAGAGGCTCCAAGTGAGCTGCGCTCTCGCTCTTTGACTTGGGACAGATTGCTGAAAAACATTCAGGGTTTTATGCAGCTGTCTTCTTACAGTAAAGACCGGCTGAAGCTGTCACTGTCTCAGTAGTGAAATGGTCCCTGTGGTCCAAACAGGACAAAAACTGCCCCTTAACACCAACATTATAAAAGGAGACGGAACAGCTAAAGCATTGGGATGACCGGTTTACAGGAGCTGTGTGGAATAGGGGGTGATTTACCACAGCCAGGCACAGTTCTGCAAGCGTGGATCATTTCTGCTGCGTTCGGAGGCATTTCCGCCGCCTGCCTCGTTGCAAGCACAGTGTGCGCCAGCCCACCACGGCCAACCCCATCAGCCAGCACTACCATGGGTGAGAGGGGATCCTGAACTTGCCCAAGATGCCAAAATGCATTTCAGAACTCTGGTCCAAATGAGACTGGAAAGATGGATCTGCACTTGTAATCACAGCATCGCTTCAAAATCTGCCACTTTTGATTGGGTGGATGAAAACACCCCAGTTCCAAGGGAGACTGGACAGGTTCTTAGGAAAAAAAAAAATCTACGGACTGTTTGTGGAAACCACATCTGGCTGAGGAAATCCTGGTGGGGTTGAAACAGTTTGAGAATGGGAAGGAACCTGAGAGAAGTTCCTACACTCTTCCCTAGACGCTTTATTTTGGCAAGTGCTAGAGGCAGGCGACCAGGCTAGATGGCTCTTGTGCCTCACCCGCCATGGCAGCTTCTACATTTCTGGGACAAGGCTTTGCATGCCTTACCCTGATGTCCACCCCGTCTGCACATGAAAAACCAGCCTGCTGCAAACTACTGCCTCATGGCCTGTTTCAGGCAAGAGGTTTCTTTACACTGCGGATGGTTCAGACCTTCAACATGGCAAGAATTTCTTTGGCTCCCTGACAAAACATGTGTCTTACTCTGAATGTCATCACTAACTCATGGCTTGACCTCAGGGAAGTCCATGCATCTATTTTATTTATGTAACAGCCTCACTTACCTATTGCCAGACAGAATAAAAGCAGATTTGAACTTTTATTCACATTGACAATGTTAAAAATTAAAATTATAGGTGATACATCAATGTATTCTCTAAGTTACAAAGTAAATTATTAGTGACACATGGATTTATTTTCATAAGCCCCATCAAGGAAGAAACTTGCCTGTAAATGTGATATTGCGGTAACAAAACGGATTGTAGTTTCACACACCCAGTAAGCCAGCATCTGTCAGATTGGTGACTACCCTCCCAGCCATTTATCCCACCCCCCATGCCTGCTCCCTGCTTGCACCAAAACCCTCCCGGTTTCCTAAAGCTGGGTTTGCTGTGTTGCTGAACCAGCAGCACTGGACAACGGAGACACAAGCTTCCTCCTTAACCTGCTACTGCCTATTCCTCTTTGTACGTGGGAAATCGGGGTTCGATTTTCTCTCTGTACCACAGGAGCTAGCAGCCTGTCCTATCTCCCCCAGCTAACACACTTTTCCGCTCCATGGGAGACTAAATCCTATACCTTCAAGTCTTTTAATTGGCTAAAAGAATAAAACCAGGAGCGATACTGTCAAAGCTGCATTTAGTTTGAATTTTGCTGCCTCTGGACCAACCTGATGAAAGGACTCTTGAGGGTGAAAGTGTGTTGATTTTTCTCAATTATACCAAGTGGCCTAATAAGAGAGATTATCTCTCCCTAGGAATCTTGCCTCTATAATGGCAAAACAACCTGGAAGACCTGCCCTCCTATTACAGACTGAGGGAGGAAGTCCTATCTTACAACACTAATAACCTGGAAGTCAGAGATGTAAAACTGAATCACAGCAACTACAGGAACTGACCACGTGGACCATTTCTCCTCAGTTTGAGAGCAAACAAGGCTCAAGCACCACCACATAAGAAGACACAAAACTTCAAAAAGCAGTAATTAATACATAATAATGTTCTTGTTACGCTGCCTTAATACTTAACTGTATTTTAAATGCAAACTGCCTGTGCTGAAGAAATATGTACAGATTCTTGGTTGTGTTTAATGACAAATAGCCATTTCTGGCCTGATTTTCTAAAGAAGCTGGAGCACCTGACATTACTCTCCCATCTTGACATGTCTCCAGCACTTCAGTTGGTAAGGGTCATGCAGTCACACACGTAACCTCTCTATCAAGGAGGGACCTGGGGCCAAAGGGTCCTGCTTACACAGATGGAGAGGTGCAGATCTGAGCCTGTTCCCAGTGTTAGAACTGCTTGTGCTCTGGATCAGGCTGGAGCTCCCACAGGAAAGCTTTGGCCTGACCAGTGTGTCTTCATACAGTCCAAGCTTTTGTTTCTATGTTCTGCACAGGTAAGAAAGGGCAGGACTGAGCAATCTCCCTCTAACACCAGCAGCAGAGATATCCCAAGGATGAGTTTTCCTCAACAAAAAGGGTAGACGTTTTGAATCAAAGCTGGTAGTACGGACAGAGAGCCCGCTGTTAGTCTCACAGTGTGACTACAGCTACAGAAACTGGGTGACTTGCCCAAGATGATGATGAGTAGCCTTAGCAAAGTGGAAAAAGTGAGCCAACCACCTTTCCCTTAAGAGTCTAACAATGTTTGATTCCATCCCTGCCAGCACCGGGGCACTGGTTCCACCCCAGAGATTGCACCAGAGCACAGCGGACTGAAGTGCTGTGAGTTAGAAGGGGGATATACAACCCTACTCCTCCTGGAGGACCTATAGGAAAGGCATCTCAGGAGTTATTGAACATACCTGGAGCTGCTTCAGTAGTTCACAGCAGGTGAGAGGCAAAAAGAGGAGAGGGAGCTAAGGGAGGCTTCCAACTCACACAGAGATAAGGAGGGTAAGGATTGGGATGGCGACCATGCAGTCAGCAAACACCACGCTCAGAGTATGCAAAACGCAGAAGATCATAATCTGCCAGAAGTAGTTTACTAAACCTACAAAAGCATGGAAAGCAATCTAAACAGCACGGCAGAGGAAACATCTCAGGGATCTGAACTGCTTGCTTTAAGTCTGACAAGCTAATGCTGAGTCTCCAGTGAGTGTAATTAATGATAACAAAGCTCTTCCTACAAAAAAGATCTACTTGCAACAAAACTACTGATGTTATAATAGAGCTTTTTGCTTCTAAAACTGATACAAAGAGCTGACTCTGGCTGCAACCAGTACCCATATCACTAGCTTGTGATGTCCCCTGAGATGAGGCATCACTGTTACAAGTCACCAAAAACTGTACAGACCTTTCCTTGGGAAACTGCAATGTAAAAATCCTTAGTAAATATTAGTGTTTCTAGCACTTCTACAGATTTTTAAGTTCTATGAAAAACAGAGGAATTGAGGATAAAAATGCTTGAATTATACTGACTTGAGAACTTCAGCTTCTTGCTCTGGTCTCAGTCAGAGAGGGGAGAGCAGAATTCAACCCAGAAAACCCCCCATACTTGCCATTTATCTAAGTAACAGATTCCAGCAGAAGTAGTGGCACATGAAATTATCCACACAGACACTTCATCCAGATCCCAGAGAGGCTGGTGGCCAGATTCACTCACCGCTAATGAGAACAACAAGAACCAACTTGATTTTCTGGTTCCATTTTGCTTGACCGTAGACTAAGCAGAACATTTCTTTTTCCCCCTAAGTGAAACACAGGGCCTCAGACAGTAATTTCTCTGAGTTGCTTCTGACCAGGGCTGTAGGAATCAGCAGCCATAGGCTGCAGTTCCACTCCACATGAACAGTGGCAGAAGCCAGACGTCATTCCCTCAAAGAAAGGGCTCAGATGTCTTGCACGCATGACTGTCAGTGCAGGTGGTTTTATGGACTCACTAAGGTCTCCTTTTGAGGAAGACTCTACTAGAACAAGTGTCTACAGCTGAAAGGAAATAGATGTTTTGCAGTGAGAAATACTATCACTTTTCTAAGGCTTTGTATAAAGCTACTTCAGAATCTGCAATACCAAGGAAGGACTTTCCTCACACGGTACTCTTTTCAGTAAATATTCCTTAATTTGCCTTTAATTTGAGCAGTGCCCAAGTCCTTGAACAATAACAGTCTTTCTCCATTTAAGGTTACTCAGATAATTCCAGCATACCCTTCAGAAAAAAGGCAACTAAGGAAAGGTTAAGATACCTTGCAGCAGTGATTCTGTGGCGACGCGCTGCTTCATGACGTGCCTGTCTTCCACTTCACTGTCGGATCCTTCGTCCTCTTGAATCTCTACGTCGGAATCATCGTTATCTGGTTGAAACAAAAGCCGTTGATAAATATCTCAAGCCAACCCACAACTCAGAACAGCAGCTGGATGCAAGAGACGCTAGCAGTCTCTGCCTTTGTTCAAGTCCAAGGCTAATTAAAATGTGGCTGCGGACAGAGCACTGGCCCTGCTGATGAGCACAGGGACACAGCCAACGTCCACATCCTAAGGAAGGCAGACTTCTACACCTAAGTGCCAAAGCAGCATACAATAGAAACAGTTGTCTTGGGACAATCCTCAGATTGTACAGTACAGGCGCTGTTCTAAAAACGGGTAGAATTCTGTTCTTCTGGGTATGAAGCCTACGTGCAGTCAGAAGGTGCAATTTCAGCAACTGATTTAAAGATAAAAATCTTTTAAGGCTTTGGGAAGCGTGGGTTTATTCATACAGCTCAAATTCTTTTACCCTGACATAAGCAGTACCAAAACCCCTCCTCCCCTTAGACTCTTTGCCTTTCATGTTAGAAAAGCACAGTGAGACATCCCTAGATAAATGAAAGCAGTTCCAGCCAAACCCAGGATGGCTGGAGAGATGGAAAAGCTTTCAAGATGCAGAAACTTCTTCCAATATTTTCACAATCTGCCTTTGTTTTCTTCTTCCTATCCAAACTGAAGCCTACTTAGTCCTGTACTGCCACTTCCCCAGTCACCAAACTGGAACAAACCTAAAGGGCTTTGATTAAATTGTCCTCCAGACGTTTGAAAGGATGACAGAGCGTTCAGATGCCTAAAGTGCCTGCAAAGAAAAGGGTAGGCTGTTCTCTCCATTGGCTGTACGAGTCCTTCCTTGAGCTTGACATGCACAATAACCAAACTGATTGTCCTCTGAGAATCTGCTTCAGGTGGCAAGTTGGTGCAGAAGCGTGTGGAAAACTTGGAAAAGGCTCTGCTCCATTTAAAGCTCCTTCTATCCCAACAGCTTCTTCCCTTTCCCCTTGTTCATGCCAGCCTGCTTGTGCAAGCCCCTTGGCTCACTGAGGCCAAGCTCTGCCTTTCAGCTGCTGTCCACTTGCGATTATTTACTTCCCTCTCCAAACATGTGAGCCACATCCTCAGCTCCTGTTACCTTCTGAACTCTTCTCACTCCCGCAGAGATGAGCCCCTCCACGCCAGCTGATCCCACAGCCTACAGGAGCTTATGGAATCAGCCACGCTATGCCAAACCCAACAGGACCCCGTGTGAGGTCGGCACCCATAGCAACAATAGCTGATAATTATTCAGAGAAAATAGGCAATTCTTTCCCAGGTACATTTAATTACACACATGTCTGAGCTGAAAATGGAAATAACTACTTTAATTATGATTAGTAATGAGCTGGCACATCTTTGCAATATTTAATTATGGGACAATATACAAATATTAGACATTTTTCCATAATCTTTTTCATTGCAGTATTAAGTTAATGACAAAATGTAACAGCAAGGGGTGTATCTGGTACCCTGGTAAGATTACCAGGTTCCAACAATGCTAGCTACAATTTCTCTGTGTGTTGCACCTTCTTCTTTGGCAAGTGACGGAATCACTCACTGCTGCGTGACCTGAACCCTCTTTCTGTTTACCTGGTATTCAGGAAAACAAGGTTTTCTTCAGCCCTTACATGGGCAAAGTCCTTGGGAAGAGCCATGTGGAGCCTAAATAAAGGATTCGGGTTCCTGCTCTGTATGTTAAAGAGCAAGACTACCTTGGCTGTGATGGCTGTCACTGCTGCTGCTAAAAGGCTGTTCTTATTTTGTGAGGGTTATTTTTCCCTTCTTTTATTCTTTGGGTTTTTTTGAGCAGCAATTCCTCCCTTGCAGGTTTTGCCACCTGTGCTCCTCCTGTTCTGCAGCACCGCTACCCACAGCTGAGGACGCCGCGTAGGGCCCTTACGAGCACTTTGCCAAACCACTCCTATTTCATCCCCATTAGCGCTTTCTGCTCCTCGCTGGGGTCTCCTGAGCACGAGCCGCCAGCTGAGATGGGGACTAATGGAGCCAGCGCTCTCCGCAGCCAAGGCCAAGTGGCAAACCCAGCTAACGCCACTTTGGGGACGGGACTTACAGCAGAGAAGCAGAGCGATGCGGTTCTGTTCTGCGCCGTGGCAGGGCTGTAATGGGGGCTGTAATGTCTCATAATGTCTCATTTTACTTTTCTGGAAACCTTTTTTTTTTTAAATCTTTTGTGGTAACAGACTCTCAGATACAACATAAAATATATTTCCCTTGGGACAAAGCAGTAATAAGAAGACAAGGCATGACTGGCATCTCCCTTTTGCTGTACGCAGACGTGCTCCTTCCTACCCAGGCTGATGGCTTCATGCTCTCCTGAACCACGTGAACCCTTCCAGCTCCCTGTAGTGCACTCCTGGGCACTCCAGCCATTCCTGACTCATTTCAACTTGCACAAGGAAGCTCATTTCATCATATAATTCCCCACAGTATCTTTCTGTTGGAAAGTGGGACTTGCAGGAAGATCCCACAGTGAGTAAGTGCCCCTGCAATAGAGTGATACCTACTGTGGAGGGAGCATCAATGGCTGGAGGGCCTCAAGCTGCTGCTTTATGAAAGGAAATGGTTTAAACTCAGCTTTTTCACTCTCATCCAGCCCTTTTCTTCTTTTCCTCAGCTTCCTTGCTATTCTCAATCGCTTGTTTCATCACACTCTTGCTTTTATCCTTCTCCCTCACTAACTCAGATGATGTAACTCTCGCCTGTCAGTGCTGAAGTCGCAGTTTTCTGCTGTTCAGCCCAGGCGTGGATGCCACAGACTGCTCTGGCGAGCCTCAGGAAAGCATGTGCTGTGCCCCAGCTTGTCGCTCAGTGTGCTTGGCAAGCCAACCCAACAGCAACTGAATGCCTAGCTTTCATTTACGCCTTTAAAAATCACAGATTGCTTTTCAATACAAATGAAGAGAAGATTAATCATGTGAATTATCAGCATATAAGCTTAACGCATGATTTTTCCTACCAAGTTGTGACTTTGAAATACAACTTGTTACAGATCTATGGCAAGAGTTTGGATTTTCTTTGAATAGCTTAGCTGGGATCCTGATGCACATAACCCAGCACGAAGCATCACTGTGTTGCTATAGCAAATGCACGCCAGAGGATCAGAAAAGTGGCAGCTGCAAATGCAAATTCAGCAACAGTAAACCTGTGCCTCCAAGCCCCCTGCTCACTTGGAAAGACACGGAGCAACTTTTTCATTTACAAAAGCATAAATGCATTGCCCTAACCCAGCTCAGTGGCTGCTGTCACCAAGCCTGGTGGTGTCCATTGCACATGGTCCACATAGAAGTCCAGTCTACAAGCCAAGTTATTCTCAGCTGAGCAGAATTGCGCTGGGCCAAATCCCCAGGGACATGAAAGCAGAATATACTGCTGAAAATTTATTTAAATACATAAGATAAAGACAAGTTGAGTACAGGCTTCTTAGCGGGATTAAACAACAGACCAATCTAATGCTGTTTGTGACCCCTACCTAGAGCGCTACAGGCTTCCACCATCCTACATCCCTCATCGTACATGCCCAGCGTGTCCAGTTTTCACCAAAATATTCTTGGTATTCATAAAAAGGTGACAATACAGAAAGTTTCATTTAACAACATACAGAAGGAAACTACTTGTAGCCCTAGGAGTAGTAACAACCACATCCGTGTAACACATCGTAACAGAAATTACAATGCCACAATTCCAGGGAGGCAAGGAATATTCTCTATGGAGAAAATGCAGATTTTTCTAAGTATCAGCACAAAGCAACAAAGACAATAAAGCATACTGCTACGAATACCCACGTACTAGTACACAGAGTACAGAACACATTCTAATGGAGCTGGCTTATGAGATTTGCATGGGTTTACGTGAAGATTATTTGACTTTTCACAATGAACTGCTATTCAGCAATCCACGTGCCCAAATTCAGGCCAATGCTGGCAGCTTACTGGCGCTTAAGGCTGGTATTTTAACAAGCTCCGGTATTTTTACTACGAAAAGGTAATCAACAGAACGACTCTATAAACTGTGTTGGCCCATTTCCCCACTGCTGTGATTACTGCACAGAGACTACTGGCAAAGCAGCAGACTATCTGAGAGAGAATATACTGGGATTTTGAAATCCCCTTGCCTTACATTTCAACATTCTCATTTCATAAAGGTGGATTTCAGTCAACTAAATTAGTTTCATTTACAGCAGTCCAGCCACATCCTGGTCACAACTGAAAAACACGGCTCTCGGAAGATGCGTTACTCGTTCCAAAGCACACTACTGTTTCCAGAAAAAGCCAGAGCAGATACCTGGACCGATAATACTGTATTTGAATAATTTAATTTTTGGTAATTTGCAACGCTTGAAGGAAAACCAGCATGATCTAATAACTTCCCAGTGATTTCATTACAGATTTGTTAGTTTGCATAAATATTCAAGCAAATGTATCCAACTGTAAAATCAGGTACTGTGGTGAAGATAATGAACACAAAGGACATCGTTTATTGATATGCTTTAGAATTAGATGTAGGTGTTGTTTAGCCTGTTCAATTCCATAATAAAAATAACTGCTTTGAAAACACAGGCACTGGCTCCCCAGCAATTAGTGGATTCAGAAAGATACTGGTTTTGGTGAAAAACCATTACGTGACAAGCAGTCGGGCAACTGACAGCCTCGATCCAAAATAAAATCCATTTTATAAATAGCATGACATTTTAGAACAGGAAAAAACCCCACCAAAAAAAGGGGATTGATTTAATGGAACCAAAGGCAGAGTGAAGTTCGGTTCCCACTTAAAAGCCTCAGACCAACCAAACCCATACTTGTGTCTCCCCAGACCCGGAGTCGCCAGTTGTGTCCCTCAGCCTGCACACGTACAGATGTGCTGCTCTGCAATGAACAGGAAGAAATGCTCCGATATAGAAACGTCAGTAGGAAACATCCTTTGTCCTCAGCACAAAACTGAGATCCTTCATCTGGTCCCTGAGAAAAGTTTGTCCCAGTCCCGAGAGCTTGGATCA